AGGTGTTCAACACCGGACATAACCCAACAGGTGTTCAACACAGGACATAACCGTACAGGTGTTCAACACCGGACATAACCCAACAGGTGTTCAACACCGGACATAACCATACAGGTGTTCAACACCGGACATAACCCAACAGGTGTTCGATACAGGACATAACCGTACAGGTGTTCAACACCGGACATAACCCAACAGGTGTTCAATACAGGACATAACCGTACAGGTGTTCAACACCGGACATAAACCAACAGGTGTTCAACACAGGACATCACCTTACAGGTGTTCAACACCGGACATAACTCTACAGGTGTTCAACACCGGATATAACCCTACAGGTGTTCAACACCGGACATAACCCAACAGGTGTTCAACACAGGACATAACCCTACAGGTGTTCAACACCGGACATAACCCTAGAGGTGTTCAACACCGGACATAACCCTACAGGTGTTCAAAACAGGTATATAATATATATATATATATATATATATATATATATATATATATATATATATATATATATATATATATATATATATATATATATATATATCATTTTTTTTTTTTTTTGCCTTGTTCATAGACTGAAGGACGAGAGGCGAACCCAAGAGCTTAAGCTTCAGCTGGTAAACACAGGTAAGGGCATGAGACCCCTAGACAGGTGTTTACGTGTGGCTACACATGTGTAACACACACCTGTCTCACCAGAGCGGTCACGCTTGGTATTGAACCTGTTATTCCCCGCCCCCCTTTCTCCCCCCCCCACGTCACGCAACACCCCCCCACACACACACCCCAGCACACACACACACACACACCCCAGCACACACACACACACACACACACACACACACACACACACACACACACACACACACACACACACACACACACACACACACACACACACACACACACACACACACACACACACACACACACACACACACACACACACACACACACACACACACACACACACACACACACACACACACACACACACACACACACACACACACACACACACACACACACACACACACCCACACACACACACACACACACACACACACACACACACACACACACACACACACACACACATACACACACCCCACACACACACACACACACACACACACACACACACACACACACACACACACACACACACACACACACACACACACACACACACACACACACACACACACACACACACACACACACACACACACACACACACACACACACACACACACACACACACACACACACACACACACACACACACACACACACACACACACACACACACACACACACACACACCCACACATACACACACACACACACACACACACACACACACACACACACACACACACACACACACACACACACACACACACGTCACTACTATTCCTATCCCACCCTTCCACGGGGTCACAACTATCTTAGAAACACATGTAATGCCTTATCCCGAAGACAACAGCTTCCTGGAACATCGTCCCACACACACGCCCTCATCTCCTGGGGAACCTCCAGGGGGGGAGGCGGAGGAATCGAACCAGGGGCTGGGCTTTCCAGGAAGCCTCCCGCTCCCTTTCTGCTGGACACCTCGCGCCACTGGACCCACAGTTCCATATATAGATTGTTGTGAAAGCTTGGTTGGCTCTGTGGTGTGGCTCTGTGGTGTGGCTCTGTGGTGTGGCTCTGTGGTGTGGCTCTGTGGTGTGACTCTGTGGTGGGGCTCTGTGGTGTGGCTCTGTGGTGGGGCTCTGTGGTGTGGCTCTGTGGTGTGGCTCTGTGGTGTGGCTCTGTGGTGTGGCTCTGTGGTGTGGCTCTGTGGTGGGGCTCTGTGGTGTGACTCTGTGGTGGGGCTCTGTGGTGAGGCTCTGTGGTGTGGCTCTGTGGTGTGGCTCTGTGGTGTGGCTCTGTGGTGTGGCTCTGTGGTGGGGCTCTGTGGTGTGGCTCTGTGGTGGGGCTCTGTGGTGTGGCTGTGTGGTGGGGTTCTGTGGTGGGGCTCTGTGGTGGGGCTCTGTGGTGTGGCTCTGTGGTGTGGCTCTGTGGTGGGGCTCTGTGGTGTGGCTCTGTGGTGGGGCTCTGTGGTGGGGCTCTGTGGTGTGGCTCTGTGGTGTGGCTCTGTGGTGTAGGGGTTGAAGAAGGTGGAGAGGTGTTGGTGGTGGTGAAAGGTTTGGAAAATGTAGTGTGGTATGAGAGGCGCGCTGGCCGCTTTGCTGACACGCTGTACTCACCTATTTGTGCTTGCAGGGGATGAGCACTGGCTCTTTGGTCCCGCCTCTCAACTGTCAATCAACAGGTGTACAGATTCCTGAACCTACTGGGCTCTATCATATCTACATTTGAAACTGTGTATGGAGTCAGCCTCCACCACATCACTTCCTAGTGCATTCCATTTACTAACTACTCTGACACTGAAAAAGTTCTTTCTAATGTCTCTGTGGCTCATGGGGTGTTATGATCTCAGCCTGCAGGAGAAACGAGTCTCCCTCCTTGAGAGTTATTCATCAAGCCTGACCTGTTTAGAAGGTCTAGCAAATATTGAGGTGATAACACATATGTAAAATAGTTGCTTGGATATGATAAACAATTTAAGATTATGGGCAGTGTAGAAGAAAACAGATAAATGACTGGCTAGGAGATGTGGACATTTTGCTGGAGGCGTGAGGCTCGCTTCAGGAGGGCTTTGACCTCACTTGAGTGCCAGACATCACAGGGGAAAGCCGCGCTCCGTTCGAGCTCCCGTCAGAAGGGAACCCCTGGTGATATATCTCCAAGAGAAGAGAAGTGTGCAGACGTACCAGCTGTGGAACTGAGCTGGGAACGTTGTGGTCTCAAGTCCTGGTCGAAGAGGAGAGTATTAAACCGCCCAGAGGCATTATTGTGGGCCGTGGAAGCGCCCTGACCAAGCTTCGTCAGAGGGAGGAGCGCCCTCGACCAGACAATCTGTGGTAAGCACGATATACGCCAGTTCATAGTGATTGCTTGTAGTTGGTCGTGTGCCCAGCGACAGTAGCAATGTTTATTGATAAGTTAGACATGTTTTGGTGAGGCAGAAAGCCTAAAATAAGAGAGGGGAGAGGGAGGAACACGGAGCGACGTCCGTCCCCTCTGAGCGCTGGCAGGTAACTGAGGGAGCCTGGCTCCGGATGGAGGAAGACCCTCCCAGCGAGTGAGGACCGCCGCTGGGCGAGGTGGAGTATGGACCCGCCCAAAACGGGGGAGTCCACTCTCACTGTATGTAGAGGACAGATAGAGGTTGGAGGCAAACATATTGTGTGATTATTTGTGTTTATGTGTTAAAGGGGAAACATTTTATTGGAGTGTCGATGGGTTGCAGGTTTGTCTTTGGGGAAGAAGTTGCTGAGCACTTCGAAGCCAGCATAGATGAAGTAGTTGATGAGACTCCAAGGTAGTGAAGCAGAGGACCTCGAGCTGTGAGAAGCAGTGAAGAGGAGTGTCACGTGCTTCTGTAGAAGTGGTGAAGCACCATAGTTGCTCGAGGAAACTTCATGGTGTAGCAGCCAAGAGAGCTGTGGAGGACCCTAGCAGAAGGGTGAAGCACCGTAGTTGCTCAAGGAAACTTCAGGATAGCAGCCTGGAGGAGCTGCAGAGGATCCTGGTAGTGAAGCCCGGAAGAACCTGAAGATATCAGGGTAGTGAACTTCCAGAGGTGGAAGGGAAGTTCTGGTGGATTACTTGTAGGGAGTTGATAGTGTTTGGTTGTCATTAGCGTGCAAGACGCAGTGAGAGGTGAGTGACTGTTTGCATTCTTATGTCAAGGAGTGTTTTATACTGAAGTTTAGAGTTGCAGGCGTGGGCTGGATTACCTACAGATGTATGTGATCTAGGACTGATAAAGTGATCGATTGATCATTGCAGTATATCAAGGAACATTTATGCTGATATATGTTATTGCATTCACATGCTGATTTTCTTTGTACACATTTATATATATATATATATATATATATATATATATATATATATATATATATATATATATATATATATATATATATATATATATATATATATATATATTTCTCTTGTTGATAGTGCAACAGTGTATGTAGACTTGATCAACTTGAGGAAGTTGATAGTATCAGGTGGTGAACCAGGAGATAGGATACCACTTGATAAGCTGATGATAGAGTTCTGATTGTGTTGGAGTGCAACCTGATTGTAATAGTATAGAGTATAGGATTCATTATTATTATATGTGTGTATGTATTGTGTATGTGCTTTGTCCAGTAAATGTATTCTAATTTGCTGGTGTTTGCCCTTGTCCTAGTGAGGCTTCCCAGGAGGTAGTAAAGAAGGAGAGAGAGAAAGAACCAAGAACCACTGCTGTGGACAGGGTAGAAGGTAATACTAATAAATCAAAAGGGGATTAAGGAGATCATATCACCTAAGGAGAGAGTGGGGAGTTACAGCGGCTCGAGTGGGTGTGTGCACGTGACAACGAGGCTAAATGTTGGAGCCGCATCCCCTAAACGTGTGACGTTGAGCCCCTCTCCAAGAGCCAGAAGCGCCAAGGGTGATCTCCTAGTATAAGCACTCTACCGAGTTGTGGGTTGGGTTGTCCGTAGAGAAGGATCAACGACGACAACACCACCAACCCACAAGACTATAATAGGGGGTACTCAGTTTCCACCTGTGTCCCCTTGTTCGCGTCCCACCAGTGTTGAATAGTTTATCCTTGTTAACCCGGTCGATTCCTCTGAGGATTTTGTAGGTTGTGATCATGTCTCCCCTTACTCTTCTGTCTTCCAGTGTCGTAAGGTGCATTTCCCGCAGCCTTTCCTCGTAACTCATACCTCTTAGTTCTGGGACTAGTCTAGTGGCATACCTTTGGACTTTTTCCAGCTTCGTCTTGTGCTTGACAAGGTACGGGCTCCATGCTGGGGCCGCATACTCCATGATTGGTCTTACATATGTGGTGTACAAGATTCTGAATGATTCCTTACACAGGCATCCACCGGACGTATCACCTGCAGGGACCCCCCACGCCGAGCATCCTTCTTCAGCACCAGCACGAGGTCGCGGCCCGCACCTGCACCCACACCACCGACGTCCGGAGGAGCGACCACCCACCACTGCGGAGAACCTTCCGCAGAAGAAAGAACAGGAGATAAATCAGAAGCACAATCGTCGTCATCAGCAGGCACATGGACGTCAGCAACCACCATCGACATAGAGTGCAAAGCACCCGGATCCACCACATCATCGCCCGAAGACCCACCGGCGTCGAAATCCTTCACATCAGCCCAACAGTAGAAGAATGCCGGGACTGCTTGGGCTCCGGCCGCACATCCTCAGAGCCGGAGGCTACCCAGAACCACGGGCTTCACAAGCCGTGCAAACCGATGCCTGTCGCAGTACGGCAGCAGCCTCAACCGCATGGGGAACCGGGCCACACACAACAGGACGCTCCGCAGCCCCCCAGCACCCAGCTCAGCCGAGACACCCGGCGAGGGCGCAGGGCCAGACGCAGCAGCAGGAGATGAGGAAGACGAAGACGTCGACGACACGCAGATACCATCTGGAAGACCCCCGGGAGCAGCTGGGACAGCGACAGGGGCAGGAAGATCAGCCGAAGGCACCGGAACACCTGGAGGAGGGGCCGCACTATCAGGAGGACCGCCGGGCGACGCAGGGGGAGCCGTAGCAGCCAATGGGACGTCCACATCCTCACCCACGGAATCCACCCCAACAGTTAGCGGCGGGAAATCCTCCTCCCGGAACAGGTTCACAGGAGCGACTGCAGCCCCAGAGCACCCAGCAGCCTGGTGCCCCAACAGGCCACACCGAAAGCAGGTACGGGGTTGCCGGGCATAGTATACCCGGACGTAGTACCCCAGAAGCCGGACCGAAGAAGGGATGTCAGACCTCAGGCGCATCCCAAGGGTACGAATGTTCGTCCGCATACCCTTATACCTCCCTGAGGACAGCGTGTGCACCCGCACACTGACAACCGCGCCAAACTGCTGGAAGTAACGCCGGAGTAGATCTTCGGAAAACTCCAAGGGCGCCCCATGCACACTCACGTAGGTCAGGGCACCACTACGGTCTGTAATGGTCACAGAGCAGGCACCATCCGGCAGCGACAAGGAACACCCCTCGTAATGGCGGAGGAACGCACGATACACCTCCTCCCCCGCCAACTTGATAATAACCCGGTGAGCAGTTATCAGGTCAACTCCGTAGACGTCGTCGACTGGGACAAGGAGCATGTCACACATGACAAGCTCAACTAGAGGATAGCCAACATGGCCCGTAAACTCCAGTCCCACGGAGTTTACTCTCATCACAGGAGGGAGAGGGACCCCCATCGCAAGCGTGCGACGTCAACACCACCCAAGCAGCAACTCTGGTCAGAGATATGGTACTTACACAGGTAGGGAGTTAACATTCTTTTCCAGATTACAAAGATTGTTAATTCTGTAAGTACTATCTAGTTTTAGTAGGAAACCTCTTGCCTTTGTTCTCGTCATTTAGAGACAAGGTAAGAAATCCCTACATTTTTTGGACTACCTTCGAGACAATTGTCTCGACGAAGTTTAAACCAGATAGTTTACCGTTGCCACGTCATCCTGCCACTCTGACATTTAATATTTTGGTACATCCACCTGGGTATTCTCTTGCATATATTTGTTATCATTCACCATGTTTCGTCTTTCCACATTTAGACAGAATCCAAACGATGAAGTGAGCACACTACATCGTGCCACCAAGGCGGAGATGCTGGCTCTAGTAAATGAGTACCACCTTACAGCCCCACATGGAGCCACTAAAACTGATTTACACAATCTCATTTTGGATTATCTATTGGATAATGATGTTATCACAGCAGATTTTCATGAACAATACTTAATTGCAGATAAGAGCGCCTTGGCAGCCATGAAATTGAAGCAAGAACTCGCTAACGCCGAACGCAAACGTCTGAAAGAACAAGCTGCCTTTGAAAAGGAAGCTCTCCAGAGGAAGGAACAAGACGCTGAACTTCAACTTAAGCTCGCTGGAAAACAAGCTGCTCTACAACGTGAGCAAATAGAATTTCAACGAGAGCGTGAACAGGAACTGCTAGAGTTAAAAGAACGCGAGCTAGAGATACAACGTGAGCACAAGAAGAAACACGCCGCCATTACTCTAGACAACTGTCGGAGAGAACTCGACTTGGAAACTACACACCACACTCGGCGCCAACAAGAAGAAGCTAACCTTCCGGTGCATTTGAACCTTTCACATGCAATTAAGTTAATGCCATCTTTTGTTGAGGCAGAAGTAGATGTCTTTTTTTACTTCATTTGAGGCTCTGGCTAACCAACTTAGCTGACCTCAGGATCAGTGGTCTGTGCTTCTCAGGTCTCATTTAACAGGTAGAGCTGCAGTGACTCTCAGTACTATAGCGTCTGAAACCGACTACCAGGTACTGAAGCAAGCAGTGCTCGATGCCTACCTCCTCTCCACCGAGACCTACAGACGTAAGTTCAGGGATGACCTTAAAGCAAGTGCTACCACTTATCTAGAGTTTGCAAATAACAAAAAGCTATATTTTATGAAGTGGCTGGAAGCCACAAAAGTCTCCACCTTTACAGAACTAGTCAACCTCATCCTGGTGGAAGAATTCCTCCAGCTCCCTACGCCTAAGATAGGCGTAGGGAGCAGGAGGACAAACACAAGGTACCAGCTGGGAGTAGAAATCCTCAGGAGCCAGGAAGAGAGAAAGATCTGGGGGTTGATATCACACTAGACCTGTCCCCTGAAGCCCACATCAAAAGGATAACATCAGCGGCGTATGCCAGGCTGGCGAACATAACAACATGTGAAGGAATCATTCAGAACCTTGTATACCTCATATGTTAGACCAATACTGGAATATGCGGCCCCAGCATGCAGCCCACATCAAGTCAAACATAAAAGGAAGTTAAAAAAAGGTTAGAGATCTGCCCCCAGGCTAGTCCCCGAGCTGAGAGGGATGAGCTACGAGGAAAGATTACTGGAACTGAACCTCACGACACTAGAAGACAGAAGAGTTAGGGGAGACATGATGACCTATAAAATTCTCAGAGGAATGGACAGTGTAGATATAGATAAACTGTTTAACACGGGTGGAACACGAACAAGGGGACACAGATGGAAACTGAGTACCCAAATGAGCCACAGGAACGTTAGTGTGGGGGAATATACCAGGATTATTGATGAAGAGAAGAATTACATAGGAACAAAAATGAGATTACTAGAACCATGAATTTAAAATTAAAAAAATTCAGTAACTGTTGATAAAGTACAAAACTAAAAGCTCTTAGCTGCATGCAAGGTTCCGTATGCTGGATTGTAAGTCCACTCGTCTGTGACCTTGGTACTGGTAATAGGCTGTAGCAGGTAGCGTCCTGAAGGCTGATCTGGCTCATCAACTGCAGAACACACTGTACCTGCGGGTGCACCCACACATTTGACATGTAAGTTTTACATGGATATGATACAACAGTTCTATGACTGCAAGCACTGGTAAGGTTCATGATCTAGCACCTGAACTATACACTCACTAGCCTGGTCATAGGAATATATGTGCTGCTGCACACAAAGGTATAACTACACAAGGTGTATGTAAATTTCCATACAAAAATTATTTTTATGCAATAACATAAACTAACTTGATAAAATAAGTTAATGGATAAGGCAATTAAATGTATGATAAGTTATAATAAAGAATTATATTCACCAGATATAAATATTCAGCAATATTGGTGGTTCATTCAATGAAAAGATTAAGTCAGAACTTACTAGACGATGAGGCGTTGCCGTGTACCATTAATTCCTCCCTAATATACGGTTCAAACCCTCGCCCAGTATTCAGGGAACTATCACTGAAGATTATCAATAGTTTGTGTGTAAATATCTTGCTGGAAAAGAGTCTCCAGCCCAACAGACTCGTGCACTCCTGGATGTAAACACGACGCCGCCAGGTACCGGACGCTTCTCCCACGGCGGCGTCGGCTGCTGCTGGCGTCCCCTCCACGGTGGAGATGCCGGCAATGATTATAAAATGATTATTTTCATTATTTAGACTGATTGTTGTGATAAAGTTACATCACAAGATAATTGCCTAATGGATTTAAAGATTATTAACAGTACTCGAGAGTATCTTTTGTTCTTTGTGAACTTTGATTTTGTAATTACATCACTGGAAGCAATAACTTTGGTTCCAGCAATATTTGTTGACTACCTGGAAGCTTCTAGATTCTGGAGATCACATGTACAATGTAACACAGATATTGAGCTCAATAGTGTACTTGACCAAATGGTCATGTAGGCTGCTAATGTAGATACTGATGAATATTAAATCATCAGAAGATATGATCAATAGATAGTGAATCTGATATGATTCTGACACTATGGAATAATACATTCCTTAGATAATAATAATATTAACATGATGAGTGGATTTTTCCACAGTTAGAAAGAACTTTTTCAGTGTCAGAGTAGTTAACAGATGGAATGCACTAGGCAGTGATGTGGTGGAGGCTGACTCCATACACAGTTTCAAATGTAGATATGATAGAGCCCAGTAGGCTCAGGAACCTGTACACCAGTTGATTGACGGTTGAGGTGGGACTAAAGAGCCAGAGCTCAACCCCCGCAAGTACAACTAGGTGAGTACGGGCTTGTGTACAGGTTATGATGGGTCTGCGGGCAGGTGTTGGTGTGTGTTTCATCTCGGGATTTATGTCTTGTACTATGGGAGCGGGGCGTCTCATCTTGGGCCACCAGCTGTGGGAGCGGGGCGTCTCATCTTGGGCCACCAGCTGTGGGAGTGGGGCGTCTCATCTTGGGCCACCAGCTGTGGGAGTGGGGCGTCTCATCTTGGGCCACCAGCTGTGGCAGCGGGGCGTCTCATCTTGGGCCACCAGCTGTGGGAGTGGGGCGTCTCATCTTGGGCCACCAGCTGTGGGAGTGGAGCGTCTCATCTTGGGCCACCAGCCGTGGGAGTGGGGCGTCTCATCTTGTACAACCAGCTGTGGGAGTGGGGCGTCTCATCTTGTACAACCAGCTGTGGGAGCGGGGCGTCTCATCTTGGGCCACCAGCTGTGGGAGCGGGGCGTGTCATTTTGGGCCACCAGCTGTGGGAGTGGGGCGTCTCATCTTGGGCCACCAGCTGTGGGAGTGGGGCGTCTCATCTTGGGCC